ACCCCACCTTCCCCCCACCACACCCCTCCCTCCCACCCCCCCCATCACACACCCACACCTTCCTTCCCTGTACATTCTATCAAAACATTTCATCATTCTAACACAATCATCTTACAACTCAACAAATAAGCATTACCTGTGTTTATACCATAACAACTTCCATTCTCTCCCACTACGCTATTATTAACTAGACTACCCAACAGTCACTCATCTCTCACCCTGGAACCACACACTGTACTGCAGAATACATCGATGTACTGTATATACGGTACACTCAACGGGGAACTCTTCTAATTCAGTGATAGCTTGGGAGGTTCGTTGTGATGATGAGATGAAGGAGAGATGAAACATTCTTACTGCCATTACAACATCAGAAATGAGGACAACAGTATATAGAGAGGGAGAGATGAAACATTCTTACTGCCATTGCAACATCAGAAATAAGGACAACAGTATATAGAGAGGGAAGTTCGTTATATTGGGGGTCTGTTAGATGTGAAACCTCCATCTAACGGACTATACAGTATCAGTTCGATGAAGATTTCTCTGTACAGTGTGTAGCTTATTCACCATACCTCACTTTACCTTACTAACCTTATTTACCTAATGGTCACTCTCTAGAGGTGGCCATGCCGAAGGAAGGAGGTCAGTGGCCTGTGGAGGATCCCCCCCATTGTTCCTGATAGGTTTGTCAAGGGCTATCATGAACAATAGAGGGATCCTACACAGGCCACTGACCTCCTTCTCAGTATGGACACTTTGATAACCAATATAGACCTTCCACCACTCAGATTGATTGAGTGATTGATTTATGGAAGTTACGTTCAAAGTCAAGCACTGGAGCCAATAGGCCAGTCAGCGCTGTATGACAATTAGGGGATATCCCTTATACAGGGTATAAAAAACAACCACATCCAATTAAAACAAATTGAGAACAACTGATGCTTCACCCCCTCCGAAAAACGAAGAAGACGAATGGATAAAAAATTCCACCACCTTGGCCTCAGTGAATGACTGTCAGAGACAATATTTGAGGGTAACTGAAAACATAATTCCATTCTGTAGTTTCCAGGATGTAGTGCAAAGCAAACTGTTTTCTATAAAAATATTTATGTACCCTAAAAAGCGTTTATTACTACAGTATATATAGCACAAAACTAGTCTCATGAGAAGGATAGTACAATATAGTTTTCAAGTTATTCAACATTAACCCACTATTTAACCTTATGAAGTTAATTTCACTAATGTACAAATTCACTTTTTCACAACCTTACTCCACACCAAACCTCAAAGATTTGTGGACGACCATTAAACTGTACAGTATGACATGTCAGACAATAAAAACAAGAGCCCTGTAACCATAATTATGTTAAGCCTCATATTAGGTTACTGAGTTAAACACATGAGCTTAACACCCAGCAAAAATGTAGACGGTGACATAGGGTGCCAAGGTGTCGACACAACTTCCTCTTCCTTTTCAAACACCAGACAAGCTAAAGACACTTGTGACCGAGTTAACAGAAATATATTACAGTACAATCCATTTGCTTGGTATAGACACCTAAACATCATTTCGAAAGACTTCACCAAGGAGTAATTTGTACTTAAATACTAATTCATAACAACAAATGCACAAAGTATACCCAACAAATACACAAAGTATCCCCACACCAGATAAGAAAGAACATAAGAAAGTGGGATACTGCAGGAGGCCGACTGGCCAAAAGATCAAGCAGCTTGACTTCAGTGCACGATACAAAAACATTCCCAATCATGTGACATTAGGATAGAGTCAGTGTCATGGAAAGAGAAACTACAAATGGAAATGGTAGAGGCTGTACTGTACTTACCTGGGGATAACCTGTAAAATGGAAGATGAAAATTTTATACGAAAAACTCAATTTCTTGACCAGATCACCGAGGAATGACTCGTGTATAGTATAAATGCACTACCAATCCCTTTAGGTTCAGTCCCTAGCTAATCTTTACAAAGGTGGGTTGGGGTCTAATCTAAATAGTCACTTACTTCCCCACAGCAGCCCTAGAAATTAGACCCTAATTAACTTTATGGATTACCTGAAGATTAGCCCTCTCAGTTTATTTCACCTAAAGTAGATTAACCTCCCTTTAACACTAACCTAACATAGAGATTAACCTCCCTTCAACAATAACCTAACCTCAGAGTTGTAAAGTAACTAAATAAATTTATTGAGTACTGTACCTGTACTCAAGTAACATTTTTGGGTACTGAATTTACATTTTACAAAGTACTCTATATTTTTTACTTTTCCTTTTCTTAAGTATGGTTTTCTAATACTTTTACTCCAATACAATGAAAACACAAAAATCGCTACTCATTACATGCAAACGAATAATACATTTTTAAATTAATTCATTAATATTAACCATCGTAAAAGAGTTGTGTGGGTGGAGCCATGAAGGGTACAGTGTGAGTGTGAGGAGACACCGCGCAGTCACATACCTAAAGCTCTTGTGAGGTGAGGTGACATCAGGTCAGGTCAAGTGGCAGTGACCATGACAGCGGACTTTCCCCTTGATCTTCTTGTGTCCATTAGCACCTTGACCTCACCTAGCCTACCCTCTTATCCCTCCCTCCCCCATTGAATCCCCTCTATTCTCCCCCACCTTTCCTTCAGGGGCTTGATCTTCCCATTAGACATCAGTTGCTCTTTGCATATACTGTAGACCCTTGCCATTCACGAGGGATAGGTTCCAGGAAATGGCGCGAATTGGCAAAACCACGAATAGCAACTTATACACTACTGTATACCTATACCAAACAACTGACCAGCCAGGGCAGCACTCATCCCCTCTTTTAACTTATCTAATAATTCAACTTTCTTTGTCAGGGTCAACACTGACTTCTGCCTTTTACATTTCACTCCACTAGCATCACGAGCACTGACACTAGGCAGTCTTTTAGGGGCCATTTCATACAGAAGCACTTGTTGTGCAGCAGGAAAAGGCTTGCAAGCTAGCCACCATAGCCACCATCTGCTTACCGCGATTCATCGAAATCGTGAATTGCAAACTCGCGAATGACAAGGGTCTAATGTACCTGTACCTAAAATAAATTTCAAAGAGGCTGTGATTCTAAAATGCTTTACATAATTCCATCTTAGATATAAAGTCTGTATCTATACAAATGTGTGAGACTGAGTGTATTTAAAATTCTGCTTGAATAACTAAGTACCTGCCAGATGTTACGTGGTGCGAAAAATTCAGCCACTCATCAATTAGAATAAAAAAGTGACGTCACCACAGTCACACCCCAATTACAGGGACAGTTCATGGTGAGTCTTAGTCAAACTCAGCCACTATGGAGGTGACAATCATCCACAAACTCCTCAACTAAAGTAGCCTGATAGCTACTTGGCATGCCCAGGCAATAGAATGGAGCTACTGAGGTCTTTCCCGACATTATGCGACTTATCTCTGAAGCTTAACACCCCACTACCTGCAACTGCTGCATGTGAGCATCTAGTCATGCTGGGCTTATTATTTATTATTTAATTCATTTATTACACCCCAGGGGGCGACAAGCTTAGTCACAAGACCATGCGGTCAGACACTAATACACTGATACTTGTCTCTCGCAGGACACACTATGACTTGTGATATGGAGACAATATTGATATGATTTAAGGACAATGGGAGTTAGCACCCACCAAAGCATGGGTAGCATACAAGAATTAAATCGTCCTGTGGTAGGAGGACCTGACAGTGGGATAGTCAAGGCAATAGTGTTGAAGGGTGTTAGCATTGGAGCAGTTATGGAGTTTGCAGGAAGAGAAGTGCAGGTCATACCCCGCCTCAGACACTTGCCAGATAGGTCTGTATCCTAACCTAATGCAAGCAGACAACATTATGCCTGCGGACCATAAGTCCACATCGATGATACTGTGTGAATAAGGAAGAAAGTGATCATATTGTTGTATGGATATATTTTCAGCCCATTTCACTATCCCTGCGATGGATTGTAGAGGGAAGAGCGGCTGAACGTATTCTCTTTTGGTAGGTCACGCTGGGCTTATATATAGGCCTACAAGATCCTGATTGAACAGCCATAATTTTGAGAATCAGTTATTGATTAATCTCAATAGAAAGATTTGCAAAAAAACATGTGTAATGCTATGTGGCTCTTATTTTTATCTTTAGATAACTATTTTTTGGTAATTTACTGTGGATCTATTATAATATTTGAGACAATTAATAATTTTGTTGTTACCTTTTCTTTCAGTACTTGAGTACTTTATGAATGAGATACTTCTTTACTTCTACTTAAGAACACTGAACATTGGATACTTTTACTTCTACTTGAGTAACATTTTACCAATGTAACAATACTTTTACTTAAGTAACAAAGTCAGGTACTTTTTACAACTTTGCCTAACCAAAAGACTAACTTTTATTTAACACTAACCTACTTTAAAGATAAACCGCCTTTAAACATTAACCTAACACAACCTACTATTCTAACCTGACCCCCTCCCCTGAGATAGCATTAGGATGGTTAATCATCAAGGTGAAATAAGCTGGGAAGGAGCTAATCTTCAGGTGTCCTGCATTCGTTTGGATCCCCTGGGCTGGACCTTACACATGAATCACACTTAACAAGCATCAAGTTTAAACACGTCACCAAAACCAACTGATGATCCTTGACCCATGGCCCTCACCTAAGACCTTGACCTACAACCTTAACCCATGACCCTGACCTACAACCTTGACCCACAACCCTGACTTACAAGCTTGACCTTTATTATACTGCCCTGAATTAAATAACCAAAGCACTGATACTGTACACACATTTGTGTAAACTCCTCTAAAGCTTTATTTAAATTCCTGCACCTAATATAAAATTCTATACTGGACACACAATTTGAGTCTGGCGGAAGGACAGCATGTTCCTTCATTTTGTGTGTGTGTGTCTGTGTGGGAGGAGATCACTACAAAAATGGCAGGAGTAGTACCATACTTACCCGGTCTTCTTGTAGAGTAATGGCACTAGACTTGGCATCCAGGAGCTCAGCACTCTGACTTCGTAATTTGGCACTTCTTGACAAACGATTACATAACGTCACAACTTTGACAGAATGCTGCAAAGGAGACAAAAAACAAGTAGGTAAGCAACACAACAACCACAGAGACAGAACTAAGAAATATTACCTACATTAAATTGACTAATACCTTCCAATTTGAATAATATATTGAGACTGGCATAAGACCAAAATAAATTCACCACCAATCATCATATAACTGACACCTTTAAAAGTTTATTCATCAGAGATTATCTTGGAGTTTTTCCCCCTCCTCTCTTCTTTGTCCCCTGAATACTATATTTTACATCCAAGAAATAAATTCTTCTATGAATTAATTAACTCACCCACTACCTGTAGATCCATACACAATACAGTACTCCTGGTCACATGTCTTTAAATGTCTCAGAATTACTTATTAGTTTATTCTTTCCTAAACATTTGTCTCCCCAGTTCTTATCAATTTTTTTCCCTAAATGATTCTCTCTTTTTCTAACCTTTTCCTGCATTCAAAGATGACTACAGCAACCACAGTCAATCCTCATCACAGAAGGACCCCCAAGGGAAATGAAACAGCAGACCCTGACAGATATATACTGATTTAACCCTGAGTTTAAGAAAGAAATATCAGGTTAGAAACAAATACAGGGACTAATTTGTTGACTGTTCTTGCTTATTAAAATAGTTGAATACAGCTACCTTCCATCTCCGTCGGGCTTGGTACGATTTAAAGTTATCCATGTTTGTTTGTGCATCGCGGCGCTCCTCTTCCTGTTCTTGCGACTGTGGCTCCATCCAGGGGTGTGCTAGTGACTCCTCAGCCGTCAATCGTTTTCTGCGAACAAATGGCAAGAGCGTATAAAGACCTGACCAGCCAATAGTACCTGACTAGCTATGTATATCTTAAGTTTTGCGTACCCTAATAGGAAAAGTACTGTACAAGTACCTATAAAACTTGGAATAACAGAACCAAGGTAATCAAAACCACCGAACAAAGCTTTCAAACATATTACTTCAGATACAACAAACATTGGATGCTTTATCAGGAAAATTTATCATAATTCAGTTGTTTTTTTAGCAATGATAGTAGCACAAAATCTATCAAAATAGTACCTCAAAATGGGAAAAAAAAAGGATTCAATAAGTAAATTCCACCTCCAGGCAGGCGAATGAAAAAATGAGTTGGTGAACCTCTGTACAGTATTATTCTCCTGCTACTGTTCTCACTCTACTAAATAGCTGAAGAGGCTGCAGATAAATATTTCTAGGCCAGCATAAAATAGTTACAATATACCTACTGATAATTCTGAGGAAAATGGGCCATAATGCGAGTAACGAGAGATGCAATATCACGACAGAAGCAGAGAAAGTAAAGCTCTTAAACCCTTCACTACGGGGACGCCATGTTTAATATTTCAGTTCACCAACACCAGACGGTTTTGCTCAGCTCAGAGGGAATCCAGTACATAATCTCTGAATGCTGGTCAAATGTACAAGGATTAAAGCCTTGAACTAATCTTATGTCACCCTGAAGAAGCGAGGAATGTTTTACATTTACAATATATACAGTACAGCATTACTTTAGTGCTCACTATCTGTGAGGACGGTATAATGATACAAGTGTGACGGAGAGTTGAGTGTAAACAAATGAGGGATATGTCTACATTTTGGAAGGCTGCTTTATTAGTCTTGCAACGACTAGAGACATCAACATAAATAGCTCCATGCATAAAGTGATCCACTGTCTTTCATCATTGAGCACCTGACCCAACCTAACCTAATCCTATAAACTGTAAGCACATAACTTGACCTAACTCAACCTAACCTATTCCCACAAACTATAAGCACCGAACCTAATCCGACCTAACCTAATCCTATAAACTTTATGCATAACCTGACCTAAGTGAACCTAAACCTAACCTTATAAACTGTAAAGTCAAAACAGCAACATCACTAAAACAAAAATATTTTCATTACCTGGCATCTTTAACCAACAAGCGACAGATGAAATCCTTGGCCAGGTCCGAGGTGCCACAAAAATACTCGCTGTCAAACGTGTAATCCACAGCTGTTATGTTGTTAAATGTCTCCTGCTGTGTATCACCTAAGAATGGTGAAGATCCAGACAACCTGTAACAACAACACAAAGGCTCATTATAATATGTATACCATGTACAGTACACTGAACAGGATTTTTGTTTTGGAATTTGACAACACCAGGAGGGGTTCTTTCTCAGTAGTGAAACAAAACCTTAGAGCACTGATGTGTGATTCTCTAGAAAAATTAAATAATTATAATAATAATAATAATAATACAGTCAACCCATCACTTTACGCGGTTAATTCAACCCACAGGGTACCGCGGAAAGTGAGAAACGAGTAAAGTGAAGAACATAACATATGGGATTAATTGAAATAGAGACCGGGCCGACCCCCAAACTCCACTTTTTGACGACACACAACTATGTTGTAGTAAAAATATTATCTGAACTTTATGATGGTATGCACACACAATTAATAATTAAGAGTAATATCAATAATATTAGGTTTTTTAACACTTACATTAGTAGAAAAGATGGCTGGGCACACGGGGATGGGCGGTTGGTTCCGATGCAGAGGGCAGATTATTGGCCCTCACCTGTATCACTTGTATCAATTGTATCACTATCCACCACAGAGGCTTTGAGGGCCTCTTTGTCAAACCCCTCAAAGTCCATATAAGTCCATATCCTCACTATAATTATCACTATCACTGACTTGGGCCGGCTGTGGTGGGTGGCGGGTGGCGGGTGAAGAACTCGGTAATGTTTTGATGACTGGGTGACCTTGTGCGCACCCTGCTCGCGCCGCTTACACAACATGGCGGATGGCGGGAGAGGGCGGGAGAGATGGCGGGAGGTTTGGATCCAAAAATGGCGCGGCTCGCCAGCCGCTCTCCGCGTAAAGGGGTACACGCACCGCGGAATGTGAGCATTCCTGTTTCAGCAGGGTACCGCGTAAACGTGGAAATGCAGAATGTGGGACCACGTAAATGTGGAAATGCAGAATGTGGGACCGCGTAAAGCGAGGGTTGACTGTAATAATAATAGTAATAACAGTAATTAACACATTAACATACAGTAGTTTGTATATTTTCAAGAGGGAAACACACCGATACAATGAAAAGTAACTCAACAAACGTAAAAAAAAAAAAACGTCAACAACAGTCTTAAGTTTTGCTTCACATGCGCTCACACACTTCAAGGTGAGTGGATGGTCATCATTCTATTGCCTGGGGTAAGACTACATATGGTCAACCTTCAAACTCCATCAAGAAGCCATTAAAGATAGATAAGCAGTTAAAGAGATAAAAGTAACAGCAGGACAAGGCATAGCAAAGCACATGTAAACTATAAAAAAATATTTACAACAACCTCAAGCCATCATGATAGTTCAGAAACGTGTAATCTAGCAACAGTACTGATCAACTGACCTGAAATATGAGGTGAGGGAATTCTACATTATCTTCTAAGACTCAAAGACTGAAATCTAGAAAACACTTAGAAATAAGAAGGATCTATTTAACAGTTTAAAAACAGAGGACTGAACTTTGGAAGTCCCATTTTATGGCTGAATGGTAAGAGTTAAGTAACCTGTAAGATTCCTTCCCACAGAACCACCTCCATGGTTGACTGCCTTCTGAGGCATTACTCACTGTGAATCAGTTGCTAACAAGGGTGAATCCTCAACCATGATCTCATAGTGCTTCAGAAAATGCAACTCTTAATGTCATTGGAATACATCCCCAAGTTGGTTTACATGACTCCTGGTTATGAATCTGGGTCTCTGAAGCTTAATCCTACTAATGTCACATCACAATATATCCAAGTGAAGGTGGAAAGTAACCCCTGCACCACCCAGACGTTGAAACAGAACAAACCCAAACAAGCCAAACTTCAAAGTCACATGCAGGGGGGAGGGGGGTTGGGGTGCTGTAAGCCCCCCAGAAGATTTTTGAAATCTAACCAATATCATGGGTATTTTGAGGCCATATGCACTTGATATTAGGAGATGTTCTGAAGTCAATAGTAAATACTTTTACTGTACAAAAATGCCTGAGTGCAATAATGCATTAGAGAAAAAATGTTGGAATTTTCTGGTGAAAAGGGGAGTCAGGACCCCCAGGACCCCCCTGGATCTGCCCTTAACATGGTATGGAAGTTAACCTACCATATTATAAAAAATCTATCTCTTTAATTGCCATTTAACCTGAAAATTACTCAAAATATAAGTTTTGAAAGGGAATCAACCAAGAGTAAAGAGAGGAAAGTGAAATTTTCTCAAGTAAGATAAACTGGGAAGCAAACCTGAGTTTAGTTAGACAAAACATAGAAAACCACTTACTGTAGCTACAATTACACACAGGTTCACTTGTTGATCTAACCTGAAGCCAGCAACAATGTCCTTCTTACAATCCCAAAATTTAGTTTCCCAAAAGAAAGAGTGAACAGAATGCGGTACTTTCTAGCAAAACAAATGCAAGTCGACATTATAAGCACGCCCAATGATTTGTCCCATAAACCTGTCTGACAATAGCCAAATAAAATACTGTATTAAATAGTGGCATCCCTGTAGAGAAGGGGTTAGTCACATATACTTTTGACAGTCCTACAAGATCATAGTTGTGGTTTTACCCTTACTAACCACTGATTCCCAAGCACTTAGTCAGTCTTCACTAAGGGGTGTTCTGTTGGAGGAAATCTCACAGGTATCTTGACAAATGACCCATAAGCCATAGAACAAGCATCATTACAGTTTGTATATGTTAATTTTATTTTGGAAATTATTTTTCTCGTGAACTAAATAACCCAAATACTGAAGCTGATAACATCAAAAAATATATATAAATTTTACTGTCGGTACAAGAAACATAAGACTACTTAATGTATTAAAGCCTAAACAATGACAAAAAGCCACAGTAAAATAGAAAAGTGTTACCAATTCAATTATTCCACAAATTTGTATGGTTACATTTGATTTTCAGTAAAATAATAACAATACTTATCCTGCTAAAGTAGCAGTCCTGCATCATTAGAAATAATCAGTCAGGCCACTGGCAACACTGAATTTCAAGAATGAAGACATAACATATTGAAAAAGATTGAGAAGCTTGACACAGAACCTTTGGTACTGTCTAAGAAAAACACCAAAACCCACCACCAACAACACAGAGATATGAAACTTATAAAGACTGAGCAACTTACAGAGTAGCCGATAGGTTCCCAGCTTTAACCTAAGTACTGTACTGTACTGTACACTGTATAACTTACAAGATATATGTTATGACCCCAATGGCCCACATGTCTGTGGCCAGACACAGCGGCTCATAGTTGACAATCTCAGGAGCCACGAACTCTGCAGTACCTGTGTTGTGTGTGGATGATATTTTAAAATAAATGATGATCAGTGAACAAGTGATGGGAGAACTGGTAGTTACCAGGCAAATAATAATCATGACAACACAACTAACCATCAAACAGTTATTTAGATCCACAGCTAGTGAGATTATGGTGACAGTTTAAATAAGGACAATACCATACACACTCAAAAGATCACACCAATTATTTATCTATGAGAGCATTAAACAAACTTGTTTACATGAACATGTCAACACAAACAAAAGCAGGCTTTAACTGATTTCAGATTAGTTTAAAATATTACTGATAAAATACACAGTTTATAAATCAAAAGAAGAATGAAACAATATTTTAATGACAGCATCATGCTCTACCATTTTGAGCTCCAGTGCATGGCTGCAAGTATCATTATAACAAATCTTAATATTCATCAAATCTCTACCATACACATCAAGGAAGAGACAATGTAAGAAGTTGACAAGTGTTTTAAGGGGTTTAAAAACCTAAAGGAAAAATAATTCACAAGAACTGAATTTAATCTTTCCACTCAATATGTTTACATTGTATACGAAGATATGCTGAAAGGTAATGCCTCATATATTTTAATCTCCTCTAAAACAGGTTCATGTAGTTGGGAGAAGTGCAGTCAATGTATACGTATGTTCTTTCTGCCCATTGTTTTAAAGTTTCTTACTTTTGCCACCAAAGGTCTCAGAGCTATGTCAGTCACCATGAAAGACTGGCAATACAATGTCAGTGTAGTTAAATCACTGTGCAGTTATTGAGTTCCTGACTGCAGAAAACATTCAATGATTGGTATTCACCAGTGGAGAAAAAGCTCTATATGGTAATGATTATGTAGACACGATTACTGTTCTCTGTTGGGCTAAGATTGTGGCTGATGCGGACAACGGATTTGCCAAAACTGCATGACGAACCATGTAGCAGAAGACCACAAATAGCAATTGACAATGATTGCTAACAATGCACTAATGAGATGATCAAACAGAACCATTGCATCAATGCATATCACAGGAAACACTACCCACCAATTTTATCATCACAAGTGAGCAAATGCAGGCCATTGGTGTTAATCCTGTGCTCAATGGATTCCCAGTAATGAATGAAGCAATTCACCACCTTGATTTCACTGTCTTGGACCACCAACCATGCAGCCTAGATCTGGCTCCATCAGATTTTCACTCTTTTCCTAAATTTAGGAACATCTTCAAGGGTGATGCTTCTGTTTGGATGTTTAAATCAAGACAGCCATGAGGACTTGGTTCTATCGACAAGACATGGAGTTCTATCATGATGGCATCAAGAAAGTGCTTGAGTGGTGGCAGAAGTAGCGGACCACAGATGTGATTATGTCGAGAAGTGATAAACTCAAACTTAAGAAAAAAATTCAATCTAGATCCATTAACTGTTTTTGTTTCAGTGTAATATTTCAATCAATTTCAGATTCATAAATTAGGAGGCATTACTCTTCAGCATTCCCTCACATATAAGAGAGAACCACACAACCAAAGGGGAGATAGTGTGAGAAAGTTGAAGGAGATTTACACATACAGGGAACTGAATAACAAGGATAAATGGAGTTATATACTATACTTACAAAATGCATGCATGAACTTAAGAATCGTATCTGACATTATTAACAAGGAACCTAAAATCAGACCAACATTGTTTTCCTATTTATCATAATCTTTCTCTCTCTTGCTTAAACAGTTTCCATATTTCCACCTAAAGATAAAGTTTCCATTTATCAAGATCTTTTTCCAAATAAATTTATTTTGTGAATAATTTTTTATTCAGTTGTATAAGACCAGGAATGTATAATGATCATTCTTCTAAGTCTTTACATTTCTGGTCATGAATCAATGAGGTTAATTACATGTACAGTATGTTGTGCTTCACTGTAACTCTTGGCCCTACGTGTTCTACTCTATCATGCCAACCCTTCCATGTTATACTGTCAGGTGGCCACAACCAAGACACAGCACACACACACACACTCGCTTCATTTTCTGTCATCAAATCACTTTAACTTGGTCTTCTCTTCTCCCTCCTACCATCTACCTCTCACTAATAAATTCTTTTTTACCAGTCTCTCACTCCTTATCCTCTCTGTGTCCATAAGAGTGTTGTGAAGCTTCAGAAGCAAGAGGGAAGTCCAGGTTATAATATGGATTCTTTAATATCATCAACTCCAATGAGTCGGGCAGTAAGTTCTAAACACAAACAATAAAATACAATACACTAATACTGTTTATTGGTGTGACACAAGCAAAATTAATGCAAGAGAATGATAAATGTAATAGCATACTGTACTCATGCACCTGGCAGTGTTGTCTAACTTACACCAGTAGATTTCATGCACTGCATAGCAGCATATAAATGACTGATTCCTAATGTTTCTATTTTTGTAATCATAGATAGTACAGTACTCTATTCACTGGCATAGTCAAAAAAAATTTTTTTTTCATAATTCCCAAACATCCACCTGCAGGTGTTGAGTCTGCCACACTGAAAGAGTCAAGTTACTAAGTAAATTAAGTTAACGTGTGTGTTGGCACTGCACAAACAACTGTGTATTTGTATAAGGTTGATGCATTACCATCTCCCATTACAATACTATTTTTACAATTTGCCATACGTCAACATTATCTAAGAATTCTCCTTTCCTTCATATACCTGTAATCTAATGACACCTTACTAATAGAGGAAGGAAATAAGAGGTGGAAACAAGACAAGATGAAATATACAAAAGAACAATCCATGCCAGTGGTGGGAGTGTTGGATACAAGGTGAAAGGAAGTGTGACCTGGATTGGAGACATGTAAGGAGGGGCTCAAGTGGTGAACTGTCAGATAATTACTCAACAAGATACTGACTCAGACGTGAACCAGTCAAGAGATCTACAATTCTACATGCAAAAAAATAATTAAGTCAAAGTGAGAATTAGCTACTTACAAGATGGTACAAATACTGAGCAAATCTAAACACTCCGATACAGGAATGTCTGATATAAGTACAGTACTCTAACAACTACTGTACTCACCCATCATGTCTCTCACTTCCTCTGCCTTTGTGATGACTCGAGACAGACCAAAATCAATTAATTTTATGTGTTGCCGGTTTTTACTTAGTAGTAGAACATTTTCTGGCTGAAAAAAAAAAAATCACAGTGAATAAACCAATACAGTGGTCCCTCAGTTAACGAACGCCTCGGTTAACAAAATTTCGGTTAACGAATTACCTTCCATAAGAATCTTCAATTCGGTTAACGAACAAAAATTTGATAAACGAAATCCTTACAAAAATCACGTTTTGTTGTGAGCATCAGCTGGTCAGCTGAAGGCCCAGTCTACCAATTCAGTAATCTGTTCTATGTTTAAATTCATTTCCAATGGAGTAAATATCAATAAAGTTGAGCTATTTAATATTTTTGAATGTTTTATATTAAAATTATTAGTCATTTTAACATTTATTTAATATATTGATAATATTATATGCAGTACAGGTTCAGTCTAGCTTTGTTTACTGTTGATAGAGCAGCCATTTTGTTGGTGTCTTGAATATTTTTGCATTTTTCATTGAAATTATTGGTCATTCTGAACTTTAGTTAACATGTTGATAATATATAGTGTAGTGCAGTGTTGATTTAAATAAAATAATCTTGAATTACACCTAGTGAACTTAAAATTTTATTGGTGAAATTACTGCATCAAGCATGGGTCCCCTGAAAGGTGATTTCTCCTCCATCCCCACTTCCTTCTCTTCTCCCTTCTCCTCCACCCCCACTTCTAATTCCCATCATCATCAACCAGGAGCCTTCTACATACATACCTCAAAGCAAGTGTGCTTTACTGCATTTATTTTTACTTTGTATGTACTTTTCTGTGAGGTGGAACTAATTACCCAAAATCCCATTGAAACAATGGATTTGGTTAACGAAATTTTCGGTTAACGAACGACCTTCTGGAACGAATTGTGTTCGTTAACCGAGGGACCACTGTACCCTTATGGAAATGCAGTGTAATGAAAACTTTAAAATGACCTCTGTAATACTTCAGTATCATCAATGGTAACTTTTAGCGTAATCAGATAAAATAAAAAGATCATCAAACAGCAGAATCTTAAATAAAAAATATACAGACAATTTTATGGTTTCTTTAATGAGGCTTCTGTCTGTTGGATCAAGCAGTGATATGATGCAACGTTTATTATGACTCATATAAATATAAGCATGTCTTCACTGCTTCTTCTTGAGGGTTGAAAAACATCAGTAGTTTAACAAGATCTATGAAGAAGTGCATGAAACAACTCAACAGGCTTTGGATATTAATATACAGTACTGTATCTTCAAAAGTTTCCTTCTTGAGCTGAAAATATTTACCTTCAAATCAAGATGAGCTAGACCCAAGGAATGCATGTGACAGACACCCTGCAAGATCTGATGTAAAAATGCTGATGCCTCTTCCTCTGACAGTCTCTCTCTCTCACTAATATGATCAAATAACTCTCCCCCTCGCACCCTGAAACACAAGAACCTTCTCAGTAAAACATTACAGTATTTCTGTATTTCAAACATCACTGTAAATCAATATATTAATGTTCTTTAATATTTCACAACCAATATACAGTACAGGTTGTACCTCTCTAGTCCGGCAACCTCGGGACCTGACCGGTGCCGGACCATGGAAATTCACCCTTTTCCTGGATAGATAGTGATTTGTGCTTATGCTTGGAAACACTAGCACCACTTTCTCTGCATCATGGTCTCTTTGAAGACATATTGAAGGGTTAAATGTCGTATAGTAGCTTCTCAAATTTCGCGATTTCTTAATTCAACGTATTTTATTGGAACACACACACAAAAAAAAATTTTTGATGGCGGAACCTTGAATTTCGACGGGTTTGAACGGCCCGCCAACGTGCAGACGACGTGCATAATCGTGTAAACAGTGTCATTTCTCTTATGTACAAAAGATTCATTATTGTTTATTACTGAATGTCTTTTTTATTGAATTAATGTTTATGTGTGCAAAATGAGCAATACAATTCATTAATAATACGTAGAATATTAAAACACATGAGGAAATGACACAGCATTGTTTTCGTTGATTACAAAACCAGTGACTGACTGGTTCTACATATAAAACTGAAGAAAATAAGACCTTGGTTGTAGCTGTAGTAAAATTAATATGGTTGTTTAAAGTAATGTTATTTAATGTTAATAAATGGAACAATAGAAGTAGCTAACGATAATGGTAAAGAAAAAAGAGAAATCGCGTATGTAAGTGGGCACACGTGAAAACATATCGTCATTACTCTACATAAGAATATGAAAGCAACACTTATTTACCGTTCATATATATTTTAATTAATGTTTCTGAATTTGTTTTTATTGAATTAATGTTTGTGTGTGCAAAATTAACAATACAATTTATTAATAATACGTAGAATATTAAAACACACGATGAGACGAGACGGCTGCCGGCATTGTTTATGTTAAAGCTTACAAAACCAGTGACTGATTGGTTCTACATATAAAACTGAAGAAAATAAGACCCTGATTGTAGCTGTAGTAAAATTAATGTAAACAAATTAATATGGTTGTTTGAAGTACCTGTAATGTTATTTAATGTTAATAAATGGAACAATATAAGTAGCTAACCATTAATGGTAAAGAAAAAAGTGAGACTGCACGTATGTAAGTGCGCACATGTGAAAACATATTGTCATTACTCTACATAAGAATATGAAAGCAACACTTATTTACTGCTCATATATATTGAAGGGTTAAATGTTGTACTCTGTATAGACAAGCAGAGAGAGAGAGAGAGCAGCCGAACTGCCGGATGTAAACAAACCTTAATTTCCCGTGGCTTTGTTGTCGGTTTTTTATGGGGATTAGCCCACCCGGGCATAGGTCACTGACCCACATTGGGGCCTGAGGGGCAAAAATTTAATACTCCTGTAATAATAATAATAATTCAGATAAGTAAAAAAAAAAAAAAAAAACCTGCCTATCTACCTATTGGACAAACTAAAATCGTTCCAGACCACGGGAGTTTCCGGACCACAGAATGCCGGACTAGAGAGGTACAACCTGTACTGTATAGCACTACAGGCAGTCCCCGAGTTACGACAGTCCAACTTACTATCATCCGCACTTACAAACGGGGTCCCAATACATTCATCGCAAATTTTTTTATTTAAAATCCCATTTTTTACATTACTTTCATTATTCTATATTGTTTATCATCACTTTATTTCCAGTATTTACATTATTTATTATGTATTGGATATTATTGTTGTTTTATAAGGGCAGGGTTGTGTTTTAACATAACCTAAACTATGGAATTAACAATGTTCTGTCTTACAAACTAATAGACTTATGATCAGGGTCCAGGAATGTATCCCTGTTATAAGTCAAGGACTGCCTGTACATAGAACAACTATTTTTTATGTTTAACTCCTTGTGTACGAGTTCCCCCTCTAAGCTGAATAAAATCGTCTGGCATTACAAAATAAAATAAAATATTAAAAGTGGCGTCCCCGTAATAAAGGGGTTAATCTAGAATTTCAAATAAGTCACATGTACTCATTCTCTCTTAAAGCCTTCAAGAACAACAAACATGATTAATTAAATAATTGATAACTGACTTACAATTCCAACACTAGGATAACTTGCTGTCCATTATCAAACACCTGATGGAGCGAGATAATGTTTTGGTGATCGTCGATCATCTGTAAGACACGAACTTCCCTTGCAATGGATTCCAGTGGCAGCCCCCGTCGGGAGGATGCCACACGTCTTTTGCGGATGTATTTAGCAGCATATTCAGCACGAGTAGCTTTCTCTACACACCGACGAACAACTGCAAACTGCCCACTGAAATTGTAAATGAGGAATTAATGGAAATATAAAAGAAAACTGATATAATTTTTTTTAGTTAGCTACAGTATTTCCCTATTTACCAGTTATGTTTATAATTTGTCATTATTGTCCAACTTCATTGTTTTCCTGATTATGCCCAAAAGATGTAACGGATTAAACCATTCATGTTTAGTGTCTTAAATCAGTTCTATAATGAATTTACACGATATATTTCACTGCCAACAACAAACATCCAAAGTTTGGCAAAGGTCTACAATGACCCCCTATACAGTACTTAATAATGTAATGTTACTTTCATTATTTTTATCTAGAAAAAAAATTTACCAGTAATGCACAGACTCTAAATCCAGCAAGTAAGCAAGGACAAATTTACTTCATATTAATTTGGGAAATGGTAAGTAGGAATATAAACAAAAACTATCACTGAGCCATAACTCACATTAGCAGGAATCAGGGGCAGGTCCTGGAATATCAAAAGGGAGGGGTCCAAGAAGTTGTGGGTGGGGGAACATGGCGAGCACAGCGAACCCACCCAGCTGGGAGTTGGGGCACTGTAAGAACCCCCGAAGAATTTGTTTGTTTTTTTAATCTGACCAATATCATGGGCATTTTGAGGTCATTTTGTAGACATGTGCACTTGATGTTAGGATATATTCTGAGGTCAATAGTATGTAATTACCTTTTCCTATACAAAAACGCCTGAGCACAATACTGCATTAAAGATAAAGTATTGGAATTATCTAATAAAAAGTGGAGTCCAGACCCCAGGACCCCCAGGATCTGCCCCTGGGAATGAGCCACCGAATGTCTAAAATACTGTACATATCTCTTAATGGCTCAGTCCTGCTAAAATCAAATTCACCTGTAATTTTAAAGATGGTTTGCTTTAGTTATCCAAAGCATTAAAAACACAGAGGACATGGCCTCCTTACCATTTCCAAAACTAGTTCATAGTTCCTTGCTTACCCTTGGATTTTAACTCTTAAAAATTTAAATAATTTTGTTTTTTGTAGAAATTCCAAAGAAAACAAACCATTATTTATTCCTAACAGTTATGAAAGATACTGACCAGAGTTTATCCTTATGTTAAACAAAGGTGTTCATCAAGGTCAAATACTTTGTGCCTTTAACAATAATATTTTTCCTAAAAAGATAACTGACACCTGGCTTTTTCAACAGGATTAAGTGTTTGTGATTAGGTCAATTATTTAATAATTTGAAGTTAAGAATTATCAAAGGACTAGTCACAATATTTTATTTTTTTATTTTTAACACAAACTGTATAACCACGCTTCAACAGACAGCAATGTAAAGCCTGATATGTGGGCTTGAATGGTATGTGAATGTTAATCTGGATCACTTGAAGAATCTCTACCCCAGCTTATTTCACATAAAGATTAACCACCCTAACACTATTGGCAGTGGATATTTTGCCATGACCGGCTAAGTTCCTACTAACACTATTTTACTGTGAGTGCACTGATTGACTAATCGTCCATTACCAGCGAACAACACAAGAACGATATGTGACCGTGACACTAGTAGCAATTGGCATTTATTTAGGCTGAGTCAATTGTTGTGTAGCTATAAACATACCTAACCGGGATAGGTTAGCATTAGGGTGACCCATCTCAAGGTGAAATAAGCTGAGGTGAAGATTCTTCAGGTGATCTATTAATTTTAATGGTGTTCTATTATGTCCTTCAAAACATTAACTGATATATTTTTCCCTCACACAGGCATCAAAGTCCACTATGCAAGGAAGTGAGGTTTAACTGTCCTTCACTAAGTAGCATCAACAGCATTTTTTCCCAAATTTTAGAATCATTAGGATTTAATTAGTTCTCTATAACAGTAGAATCAAAAGTTCTCCAAGGAGAGGTGAACGAGGTTTCACTCCTTAACTTACTGTAAAAACCAACAAAATCTGCTGAATTATGAGTATTACATAGTCATAGCAAACATATAAGACCTTTTAAGATAACTTCCTGTAATTCTATAATAAGATAATTTATGAAGTGTTATAAAAAATTACAATAAAGTGACGGAAGATACAGGTGGGTGACCCGGGGGAGCCATCACCTGCCACTCTTACCTGCCTATCTCCTCATACACCTCATATAAACTCTCAAATGGCTCGGTGCTGTACTCGATTCCCTCCATCTCCACATTTTGGTCCGCTGTGCCTCTATAGGTGAGGGAATACACCTATTAAACTACCATAACAAACACAATAACAATAACAACTCGATGTAAACAAGTATAAGAAAACCGCTGAAGTATAGACGTAATGGTGAGATTTAAACCTCTGTTGGGGATCAGTGTGAGGGAAGTGGCTAGTGAACGGCTGTCAGGGGGATTCACTCCTCTGTCGTTCAAAAAATTATTTCTTTTCAACCGATAACAGTAATAACCGATGAGTAATCCTTTAATAACGGTGATTAAATATTATTCTGATAAAATATAATTATGTAAACTATCGTAAATACAAAAAGGTGATTATTATAATTTATATCATTTAAATGAAGTCTTCCTTTAAAAAAAAATAATAATTTCACTACATGAGTAACAAACCTGATAAGCATATCCTGTTGTCACACCAACACCATAATACACCTCGCTAATGTCTAGATAATATTATCTTACATATTATAGCAAAGGAAAAAACAAAACAAAAACTTTCTGTTAACTTAAACTTCATCCTACTTTCGAAACCACAAATGAGACCAAGCAGGCGGTGTGGCCTTCATCCGTCGCTAACTAGATGTTGCTCACCTGATGATAATAATTTATGTCTGGTATTATATAAGTCCTACCTATTTGATACTTATCCCATGGTCTCAGGCCCATCCCAAGAAAAACAAAGTACCTTAGAACAGCTATATAATGTTATCAGTTTATGAATTGTGGTACGAACTGCATTAGAAAATCAAGGTCAGAGAGAGTAGAGTGATACATGGGCCGCTTCCTGGTACCCGGTGGCCTAATGCACGTGTATAAATATTAAGATTTACGGGATACGTCATATAATATCCTTAGATGGGCGAATATAATTATTACTTTGTTATAATAATTGATTGATCAGAGGGTTGAATGTGATGGTTGTAGTGGGTCACGTGACCTTGGTTACATAAGGTTAAGTAGTGTTAGTAGACAAGGTTTAATTAGGTTGGAGTAGTAAGGATAAATTTAATTAAGGTCATGTAAATTAGGTTAAGTTGGATTGATAATGAATGCTAGATTGCCCACAATGTCTTTGTACATTGTATAACTAACTACACTGTCTATGCACATTGTATACTTGCATTGCTTATATACAGTACATGCGGAATGAATGTAAATTTGTACCGTATAAAGGTTTTACTATATATATATATATATATATATATATATATATATATATATATATATATATATATATATATATATATATATATATATATATATATATTATCAGTGGTAGTGTTCACGTCACCTGTCACCCTCGACAGGACGGACGATGATAAGAAACTTTTGATATGAACTACACTGGCTCTGTATACTTCATTATTACTAGAATGTGTGGAATGCTATCATGTGGCTTAATTAGCTAATACCTTACTGCATTTCCTATGATAATTATATGTGGCCTGGACACTAACATGAGGCCAGTGTGTTCAAATTTCCATCTATTTATTGGGGGTGAAAAAGTGTAAAGGAGGCATAGAAGTTTTAGCTAAAATTATGCTACAGTTTAAAGCACCAATAATTCCAGCTGTGAACATTCCACTTGTGTATAACGTAAACAATTATCAAAGTACAGTACCTATATAAAGGGAACCCCAAGTCTATTCATAAAAAATATCTGGACTATTTAAGAGGATAAACTTGTAGACCACATAAAGTTACGATTATAAAATAAGTAAAAAAAAACAACAGGAAATCGTTTATAAGACATACTCTTAAACTAGTTCGATATAAGGAAAAACAAAACCTCATTATAGTGTGGTGTGGTATATAAAATTTATTCTGTACCGTTGTGATTCATCCGTACAAGATCTTCACAACTTAACATAACTTATGTTGAAATACCTGTACTCGATAACAATGTTAAGTATTCTTAACATTACATATAATTTGATATTTTCTATTTTACGCAAAGTGCTAACATCGAAAAAATAGAAAGGCCTTCATACAAAAACTCCAGCACACCTGAACAGCAAAGAGGGTATAATAAGAAAATATATCTAAAACGTTAATATTGTAATAGACAAACTAACATAACACCATAAATGCAGAAAAAGTCTTGGCTTTCAGACAGTTCGACACATAACCTAAAGTATATACCGTAATATCCCGCTTTACGCGAGTTTTTTTAATGCGTTTCTACATTTACGCGGTACCCTGCCAGAACCGGAATGTTCACTTTACGCGGTGCATCTACTCATATACGCGGGAAGCGGTGCGGGCAGGGTGCGCACAAGGTCGTCCAGTCATCAAAACATTATCGAGTTCTTCACCCACCACAGCCGGCCCAAGTCAGTGATAGTGAGGATATGGACTTTTAGGGGTTTGACAAAGAGGCCCTGCAAGCGTCTGTGGTGGATAGTGATACAATTGATACAGGTGAGGGCCAATAATCTGCCCTCTGCCTCGGAACCAACCCACCATCCCCGTGTGCCCAGCCATCTTTTCTACTAATGTAAGTGTTAAAAAACCTAATATTATTAATATTTCTCTTAATTATTAATTGTGTGTGCATACCATCATAAAATTAAGAAGTTATTTTCACTACAACGTAGGTATTGTGTCTGAAAAAGTGGAGTTTGGGGGTCGGCCCGGTCTCTATTTCAATTAATCCCATATGTTCTGTTGTTCACTGTACGCGGGCCTCCGTGAGTTCAATTGACCGCATAAAGCGAGGTATTACTGTACCGCATAAACTTCCCAAATAGATCAACCACCGTATGTGTATGTATGCATGTGAAGAGTCTACCGACTGTTCAAATGATATAAAACATCACTAGGTCTGGCTTCTTTCTAAACGAGTAATCATACCAACATTACCATGACCTCAGTAGCATCATATTCATACACTAGTGTAGAGTGTGGCCTCATGGACGACTCTCCCAGAACATAGGAAAGCCTCAACCTGATGGGAAGTGATAAAGACCAGATTAATATTGCACTTCGTTTCACAATCCATGTACATAACCTATGTCAGTCTCTGTTTTCCCCTTGTTTGCAAACTTTACTGTCATCAGAAAGTATAATGATAATAACAGTAAACACAATGCCGTGGTAGTAATAATAATAGTAACAGTAATAACAATAACAATAATAAAAAGTAAAATACCCTGTAATACTAATAATAATATTATGCCTCCAAAGTATTTATTAACCATTATTTCTTTACTGTAAAGCAATTTTGTGATTCGACTACAGTACAGTACATACTTACAAATTCCACAGGTATCAGAGCAACAGCATTCAAGGTCAAGAAACAATTACAGTACCTGCAGGCTGCAGTATCACACATAACAAAATCTGACACCATCTCGTGCTGCTAAACTAAGAAATTTATAAATATACGGTACCTTAAATATATGAACAAAATAGAATGTTTTTTGTGAACCCAATGTCATGTATATAATAAGAAAACGAACCAACACAAGGATCTATATTAGTAAAAATGGATGACCAAGATTTATATTGCAAAATGTATTGGGGCTGTATTGCACACAACTCAACTGCACCCATTCCGATTGTCATAAAATCTGTATAATTATTCAAAATAAATGTAATATAAGCTCCATTATCCAAGTTTGTCACCCATTCACTGCTGTAGTAGTACAGGGAAGCCAGATTTATAGGCGGGCACAGTTCTCCCTTCATTTATTAATAATTAATATTTTCCAAGGACTTAAAAAGCTGTTCAACAAAATGGGAGCTATTGCATTAAACCCAAATATTACAATTGATACATGACAGATGTTACCTACCATTTCACGACAGAAAATCTGCAAGCATATGAAAAAAGTAATGACAATAATAACTGCTACTAATTTTAATTTTATTAAACTAACTTGTACTTCAGATATTGCCTATCCTTAAGCAAGCACTGTACACAATATAATTAAAAAATATAATTTTTTTACATGAAAATGTGCAAGTACTGTTTAAATGAGTACTTACATGTTTCAGTAAATAATTTCACAAGTTTTACACATAAACATACACAAAGCACCAGTTTAAACACACAAATATTGCTTTACATTTCTTCCGAGAGCAATACAGAGTATTATGATACTGTACTGCATATCAGAGCAGCTGTTCCGAAAGTGCAACACTTCCAGCTTCATGTTGGCTCATCAACATCACAGACCTTAAAAAAGATGTCTTTTATAGACAACAACTTCTTAGGGACATCAGTGCAAAGGAATGCCTCTATAATCTAAAATTCATTCATATAAAGTACTACAGTACATGATACCAGGCCATGCAGGATAAATTATATTAAACTTCACTACAACTCCTGACATCAGTGAGTACTGACACTAGATGAATCCAAACTATTGTAAGTAAAATCTAAGTTGGCATCTGAATGACCCATAATACATCACCGTACAAGACTGTAACATTGTTTATTTTATGGAATCTTTAGTATCTGTGAGAGCTAAAGGAATCTCAATGCCCCTCTTTTTGCAGCATTCAATAATCAAATCACCACAATGAGGATTTTCGAAACTACTGGCATCATCTAAGGGTGTTCTCCCCCATCGGTCCTGAGGACAAAGGAAATGTTTGTATCAGGAGGTAGTTGAGTTAGAGGGGACCACTGCATTAGTAAATGAAAATAGTTACAAACCAATATACATTTCAGAATAGAATTGGTATTCCCTTCCACAGTTGTTATTTACCATAAGAAACAAGTAAAACTGTATACATACAGTATAATGAAATTATCTCAAAACACATGATCATAGCTTAGTTTGGAATAACTTTTGATGTTCTCTGGGTGCCCATATTACAAGACGCCAAGTATTGTAATGTGAAAATAAACAAAATAAAGAGAACTTTGTGAAATAAATTTAAGTGCAAAATCAACTCAAAGGTATAAAATATAAGTTGCAGCATGGCTAATTATTTTTCTATGTGCCAATAATTTAACTTTCAGAGAGTACATGTACTGTACAGGGTAACATAATAAGAAGTGTATAATCAAAAGTCCAAGTTCAAGAAAATATCGCTGCCTTCGGTGACTAGTATCTATACACAAAAAAATCTAAGTCATTAATTTACAGTACTTAAAGAAATACAACCAATGTTATAAAATTAAAGTGACTGTAATAAAGATCAGGGAGCATATAAATAATTATTAAAATTTATGAAACTGGGGAATTGCCTCTCTATTACTAGGTGTAAATAACAGTGTATGGTGTAGCTTTCAATGATGGACCTTTAGATTTTTTAACTGGCTAGAAAAGCAGACGATTCAGCTTGAGAACTAGACGACAGGTTAGCCATTGGCGGCTTGAAATTAGAATCGCTGAATACGCAATATATGTAAATTAACTCACCTTGGGTAGAGGGCAGACATGACAGTTTTGAAGAAGGAATGCAACAATCTCAGCATGTCCTTCAGACGTTGCTACATGAAGTGCTGTCCGGCCATCGTAATCCTTGGCTCCCATATCTGTCCCCGAGAGTGAGTGTCTGCAAATTTTAAAGTACTGACTGTAATCACTATTGTCTTTGTTAAGTAGCATTGTATAGAATTTATTTTCCTCTTTTTGGTTTTGTTTCATCATGTAATGAACTAGCTATAGTAGTCGTAATATTTTAATCATTGTGAGGTATAACTGGAACATATACAGAAATCCTAGTACTTGTACAATGCAAATTAAATCCCTAAATACCCTAATTATTTGGTATTTAATCCTATTCATATACAATAATTATATAAAAAAAATTTACTTTTGAATACTAATTATTTTACCTTCTCAATGCAGAGAGATCACCAGCTGCAGCAGAGAACAGCAAATCAAACAGAATTTGCGCCTTCGATTCTGCCTTCGCCATGCGTGGGTCAAACTTTGTAACTACGTGGCCGCGGAGGTTGTCGAAGTTGTGGAAATTGAAACGAGATACCATCTCCTGTGGGGTGATATTATATTCTTCATAAAAACTGCACGTGCCAATAGGGTTCAGAATAAGATGGAGTACAATACAATACTGTTCAATGTATACATGGCAAAAGTGATCAGAGATCGATTTTGGAAATGCTGTGGTTCATTTTGGTGTGTGTGAGATGACTCATACTGGTAGCAAGACGTGTATTTTTATTAAGCAGCCTAGTAGCCCTTGCTCATCTTCTTTTGGTTACATTAACATGGTAGAAAATGGCAGACAGATTAATGAATAAAATTATAGCAGTCTGCTGATGATAAATGAAACAATAAAAAATTTAAACAAATCTTCCTTGTGTTGGGTTAACTTTACAGGTCGAATTCAGAGTTTTTACTGACATTATGGTCTGACCAGTACTTGTTATCTTAAGTTTATTTTCTATCTCCCCCCAAAGAATAAACAAACAAACAAGAAATTAAAGCTCTGAACCCTACAAAACTCACCATACAGAATTGAACACTGCGACAAGAATTTCCATTGGAATCAAGAGGCGGCGACCAGAGGCAGATGCCCATTGTATTAGGCACCACCAACAAGACACACCCTGACACGCCAGACTTGGATGGCAGGCCAACCTGTTAAAGTACAAAACACAAAATTAACTTGGAGACCAACAGGATAATATATTTTGCTAAAGTAATGAAGGTCAATTATTCTGCCCAATGCTTGCCCTCATTACTATCCCTCTGTTTCATCAATATATCGATTATTGATTCTCTAAAAACTATTACCTTATGTCATGGTGCATCCATACCTTAAAAGCAAACTGGCCGGAGTAGTTGTACATGCCGCAGGAGTGCATGAGGGTGAGTGTGTTCCTCACAGCATCCACAGTCAACACTGGGTCACCAGTGAGAGGGTTGATACCCCCGTTAGCCAGTGTTGCTGCCATCACCGCCCCAGACTCTGCATTGATCTCCAACGAACACAACTGTAATACAATAACATGTAATTCAGTAGTCAATCAAATATACTTAATTTGCATCAGGTACTTTTCTGTACAATGGAAAAAAAACAGCAGTAATAAGAACAGTAATGGCAGAAATAATTACAAAGTCTGTAACGAGTACATCAATATCTTCAGTGTATAGAATAGAATGCAATAAACTAGGATCCTACGATCCACATAATTAGTTTATAAGAGACTTTACTGTAAAAAATAAAAATAATTTATTGAACAATAAGAACCAGCGGAGGAAATAATAAACTGTTATTGATTTTTGAAAAAGCCACATAGAAAATGTAATATGTAAACTATAAAGTACTGTATTGCTTTAACTCCAAGAGAGAACCTACATCAGCATAGGCATTTACCAGCCTTGTATTTCCTCCACAGCCTGAACCTAATTTCAGTCTATCCATGTGGACTGAAATGTCATCTCAGTTGGGACAAGTGCCATATAATCTTTAATTTACTTTCAATCCAGGAAACAAATAATCTTTTTATAATGTTAATTTTACTTGGTTTCCATAAGTCAACATACCTGGAAGTAGAAGTCAAGTGTCTCGTGTAGACGGGTACCCTCTGGGAAGCATTTGTTCTCCCTCATAAAGTAGGCGAGGGCGAAGTTACGGTCAGCACACTCCTTCTCCGAGAGGAAGACGGCATTGTTAAAGCCTAGGTACTCATTACCCGCCAGTCGCTTATATCTGTTGAACACCTGTACAACAACAATGCATCCATATTAGTCTTTTCAGTCAGTGGAATTGCATTTCACTTTACAGCTTCACTCGGAAACTTCATCACAGTATTGCGTACAGCGCTTCCTACTATGCAAATACTCTATATCAAAATATGGTGTACCTACATGTGATGATGAGAGTGTTTCCTTTTGCTATTACACAAATGTACCTCTAAAAATACATTAATAACCTAAATACTCAATTGTTTGTATTGTTCCTTGTTCATTCGTATTAAAGGGATAAATACTCTATCCATAAATTATACTGGAACAAACACATTAAATTAGGTACTTTTATTTTGCAAAAGCCTTATTCTACATCAAAACACCAAAGTCTACTTAATTTTCTATAAAAAGAGAATATTGTTTCTTTAAAGACAAGAAGGGGGACCCCCACAAGAATTCATTTAACGTAATTACAGTACTTGGGAAGATGTAGGACCAGAACAGTATTAGTGCCTATTAGTGATAATAAATGTCAAAACCTCAGCAAAAATCTTAGTAATGAAGTTTAACTTGACTAACAGTAGCAGTACGGGTATATTATATTTTCCTCAGTTATATCACTAAATTTAAATTTATAGAGGATATCAAGGACAGTAAAATGATCACCTGAAGTCTCCAACCTATCTTATTTCACCTAAGGATTAGTTTTTCTAACTCATAACCTAACCTAACCCCATCCCTCCAAATGGTGTTAAATGCAGATAATCTTTAGTTAAAAATAATCTGGGATGGAGACTCTTCAGGTGATCCAGTAAAATTTATTGTCAGAATGCGGATCACCTGAAGAATCTCCACCCCAGGTTATTTCACCTAATGATTAACCAACCTTAACGCTAGCCTAACCTAACCTCGTCCCCCAAATTTCTAGTCACAATATTAATGTTAAACTTATAATGTATTACTACACTTCAACAACTAGGATCTTCAAGTGCATATTCTAGATTAATACATACACTAGACATCAACAATACAAAAATTAAGAGAGATGCATCTTGACAGAGGAACACAGCCTGGGGGAGGATGGAGGAAAGTCATAGGAGGTTGCAAGCTGTGGCAACCTATAAAATTAGGTATTAGAAATAGCCTGGCGTCAACTGGTCCAAGTGCCACACGCAAGTTCTTCATGAACAAGTGCTGCCCTCTCTCTGGATAAACAACATACTCCAAATTTTACCTGGGAGTAATACTTTATAAGGGTGGTCGAAAAATCCGTGCACCTGATATAATTAATATAGCTGTTCTTTATTAAATAAACATAGCTATAAATACTTTGTCCAATTTACAATAAATATTTAAAATATTATCCACGTCCAACATTTACTTGATCATTTCTAGTATTTACTGCAATAGAACAAGGTATGTAATAATGCATATATACGTAACAAGAAAGTTATATTGTTTATTATTTCAGGTGCACAGGGACTTTTCGATCACCCCTACATTTTTTATTTGAATTTATTTATACGCCCGTTTTTCTCATTTTAACACATACAATATTCAAAAAGATCAATTAAGTGAAACAGTTTATAATATATTGTTAAAAAGTAATAGTTATTTACATTAGCGGCTTTTAGTTAGCATTTGTGCGCTGTATCCAGAGTTGTCAGCTGAGGCGCGGCTCTGTCTCGTACAGTAAGCTTGTGGCATAACATATCAAGTAGAGCTAGTTTATACCATAATAAAATAATCTAACCAGGACAGTTCAACGTATACAAGTAAATTTTCACACAATTGAGGGTGAAGTCATAGCGTCAGTGTACAGGGGAGTTGCTTTTGTTGTATATTGCCAACACGGGTGGGCATATATCACGGAGTATTACAACACTGGTAGGTTTTCCTTGAGTTAAATTCACACTACCATGGGGTTGGTTGAGTCGTAAGTTGATATTATTGGCGAGTTTATATTATTTGGGTGTGGCTCCAAATACGTCATGAACTCCATTGTGCTCTGAGCGAGTATTCTGTAAACACACAATTTACGTCCGTGTTTACATCAATTTACAACAAATGAGTTTACAAGTACAAATTCACACGATTAAAAGTTATGTGAGACCTGGGTGAATATAATTTACAATATTATAATACGATATAGTTAAAGGAAATGTTAGTATTGTGTAAACAGTAAGAGCAAGGGTGAAGAGAATATTCATGACGAGGCTACTTACGAAGTCGAAGCGATCGGCGGCTGAGAGGTCAGGCTGGAAGGGAGAATACGGGGTCAGGTCACGGCATTTACTGTGTGTATATTAGTATTACCTTGCAGTTTCTGTAATCGTATTTTTTTTTATAATTTCCTTTTCATTTATATCCTACAAATAAAAAATATAACCATTCATATATTCTAAATTTGTTAGACATTCCTGATACAAGAGGATTCACATGACATTAATGGCACTGGCAGGAAGTAGGAGGCATTATGAAGGGATAATATGAGTGTCAATAAGACACAGATGGACCAAGCGAGGACAATGTTGGCACTAAGTGGATGTGGATGGCATTAAGTAGGGTCATTGATGGCACTAAAGAGAAACAGATGGCACTAAGATGGGACATTGCTGGTACTAAGATGGGACACCAATGGCACTGATATTATAAAGTTCGGCGTGTCTGTGCCGGTAGAGGTACTGGACGACACAAAGACTGGAGAAAGAAGGAATGACTGACACTAACAGAAGTATGGAATAGATGGCACTAACAGGGAAGATGGTGGGTATGATGGATGGATTTAAGAAAGAGGCACTGTCAATATGACAGGGAGGAAAGATGTTAGGTTAAGTTAGGTTAGGTTAATGTGGGTTAGAATGATAAGGTATGGATAAGGTTGGGTTGGATTAGGTTAGGTAGAACGATAAGATTTAGGTTGGGTTAGGTTAGGCAGAATGGTAGAGGTATAGGCAGCAGTGAGGGAGAGTAGGGGTGTCTGTGGGAGGGAGGATGGGTGGTGAGGGAGAGTAGGGGTGTCTGTGGGAGGGAGGATGGGTGGTGAGGGAGAGTAGGGGTGTCTGTGGGAGGGAGGATGGGTGGTGAGGGAGAGTAGGGGTGTCTGTGGGAGGGAAAATGGGGGTGAGGGAAAGTAGGGGTGTCTGTTTGAGGGAGGATGGTGGGTGCAGGAGGGAGGGTGCTGGTGGGTAGGGGTGTCGGTGGGAGGGAGGGTGGTGGGAGGTGGGATTAGAAGGAGGGGTGACGATCTCACCTTCAGAAGCGCGGCTGTCATTATGGCCCCCGCGTTAATCATCGGGTTGTGTGGCTTATCTGTAACGAGGACGGGACAAGAGATCAATTCACTCAGGCTCAGACACACCCATACACGTTACTGATCCCAACTTATTATTTTAGTCATAAACATAAGTAATACAGACACACGTAAATGGTGATCCTAAGATAACATTTTAGTCAAGAGTTCAATAAATTTATACAGGAAGACACACGTATCCACAATGTACTCCTTATGCCCTAGATTCTAGGGTATCTCTGGGTATCTTTCTAGGGCCTAGAAAGATACCCAGAGTACCCAAACACGTGACATTCTTTGTGTGAAAAACTATACGTACAAGCCTTCAACTTTACTTCACAAATTCATACACGCAAAATAAACATACATACAAGGATTTATTCGCATTCTTACATACACTTAACAATCTAAAAAATATATCCTGAGTTATCCATACTACAATGGTTAATAATAGTGTACCAAACCAAATCTAACCTAACCTAACCTAACCTAATCTGATGTATATATACTCAAGCTGTACAGTACTTGCACATAATACAACAACAATGTACATAGATTAAATGCAGATACACTCTAGGGTCACTTACACAATTTGGTTAAGTTGAAACTCTTGGTAACTGACACCTACAGTATGCTGTATATGGAGGTGCATCTGTGTGTGTGTGTGTGTGTGTGTGTGTGTGTGTGTGTGTTACACATCTTTACATCAATGTATTTAATCTGATCGTAGGTACTAATGGATATGTGTAAAATCATCCACAGTGGTTTATATGTGTGGGATGGGGGAGGAAAGGTTAAACAATTTTTATCCTCAACATCATACTGGACGTACAATTCAGCCCCCCCCCCCACTCCAACTACATATAAAGCACAATACATGACTAAGACCACTTAGTGACATATACACGACATATACATGTTCATTACATATTACTATAAAATTAAGAAACACTTAATTTGGTAACAAGTTGATTAGGCAAAGCTGTTAATCGTCACGTGTTCTACCACGTGTCTTCATTATACTATACTGGTACAGGCGCCTGCACTTGTACCTGTTACAGTGGCTGGTGCGTCTGGCTACTATTGTGAGGTTCCTTAGGGCTATTCTGGAAGAGGTAATATGATGTAAACAAGCTTAGTTGCCAAATCTCACAAACACGCCAGCCAGTGTACCAGGTATAAGTGCAGGCGACTGTACATAGAGGTAAGGACAAGCAAGTCATTAAAGAAGCACAGCAAAAGTGTTGTTCCTTCTATAGGCTTTCCTGCAATATTCACATATTTCTGTGTAACAAAGACTCGGTTTAATGCTGCATAATTAAGATAATATTGAGAAAGTATATTTCTGTATTCACATTAAATTAGGATTATTATTCTCTCTAACACACACACTTACTTTCTGCACAGTCTATGTACATTTTATACCTGCATTGTCTATATACCTGCTGAATTAATGTAACTTGTATGACGATTTTACTGAATCTCTCTCTCTCACAGATCACAATTTATCTACATACGTAACTAAATATAACCCACAACCCCCACCATAACAACTCTGGGACACAACAATATATATATATATATATATATATATATATATATATATATATATATATATATATATATATATATCACACATTCTACATAATATAAACCTACAGTAAAACAAAAAGTACTGTGGCGTGTTACTGGCCCTATATATATACTGTATAATCCACACTTTGGATACTAACCAGAACACATTATTTCCTTTTCATACTAATAAGTCTTCACTTTTAAGCTATTACAAGTATTACTAGTAGACTATCTCCACTAAACCCTTCACTATGAGAACGCCACTTTAATATTTTATTTGGATAACGACAGACGATTTTATTCAGCTCAGAGGCGACCCCGTACACAAGGGATTAAACAATATATATATTTAATTAAATCAACACATTAACAATCCTGGTAAGAAGACTAATGGAAATCATTAAAAAAAATACCGTGTATTAGAAGGTATATACAAGTATACTGAATCCAATTAATGTATATTATAAAAATTATTGGCTAAGAAAATGGAAAATATTATTAAAATTATGGTATACATGTACTAACTGAACATTGAAAAAAAAAATTATAATAAAAACAAGTTCAGTATATAATAGCTATAGAGGTTACATTAATTTAAATAAGCAAGTACAATATAGTACTGTATATGAAAATCTATGGTTATACTAATTCAAACAAGATAAATAAGTTAAATAAGGAAGTACAAAAAATTCCAGGAAACTACTGTACATTAAAAATAAAAATAAAAATACCAACAGGCATTAACCTAATTCCTCTGATAAACTATATTAACTACAGTAAGCATAATGGAAACAGAAGAAGCAGATATTAAAAATGGAAATTAATGGAATTTTAATAAGTGATGGTGGTAGAACGAGCGTATAGATAGACAAGGGAGACAGTATGTAAAGGAGATACAAAGGGGAAAAGTAAATAATTCAGGGATACAGTATATAGAGGTGCAAAAGGGAGAGAGCAGATAAACAAGGGAGACAGTAGATATAAGAAGTGGGTAGATAAAAAGGGAGACAGTATATAAAGGGAATAAAAAGGGAGACAGTAGATAGAGGCAGTAAACACACTGAAAATAAATAAACGGAAGCTTAATAAGATGACAAATTTTACGATAGCCAAGGGTGAGATAACAAAATAAAATAAACACATAAAAAATGGATAAAGATAACAAAGACGAAGATAAGAAAAATACATAAAGTAGGATAACTACAGGTATATAATTAAGTACATATCACCAGGAATTATTTGTTAATATTGTACTTGCTTGGAGATTATCACAGCGAGCTGTACAGTAACAAGTTCTGTAATATATAAATTACTGTTACAAAATTTGATTTTGAGCTGTAATATACCAGTTAAATATTACGTGTTACTGTACACTCCGATGGTCCACGATGCAAGGAGGTGGTGGTGAAGGGTGTTAGATCAATACTGTACAGGGTGGTTAACAAGTCCCTGTGCACCTAAAATAATTAATATACTAATAGTTATTCCTTATTATACCTATACATTGTTATATATTTTGTTCTACTTACAGAAAATAATGGAAATGGTATCCATTTTTAACATTTACTGTGGACATTAACAATATTTACTGTATAACTAGGAACTTCTATAGTTTACTATTGACAACACAACATACATACAGTATATTGTTACTCACTTTTGATATTTTTCTCTTCTTTTTTTTAGTTCTTTACGGTTATTTGCTATTATTATTCTTATTATTATTATTAGTGTTTTTACTTTTTATTGTTACCTTTATTTTTAATTTAAATTTTTTATTATAAATTGTATTTATTATGAATTATTATTATTATTATTATTATTATTATTATTATTATTATTATTATTATTATTATTACCCTTTCGCCCCTCAGGCCCCGATGTGGGTCAGTGACCTGTGCCCGGGTGGGCTAATACCCGTAAAAAATAAAAATAAAAATAATAAACTAAACAATATAATAATAATTATCGAAGGTGCACATGGATTTTTTGACCATCCCGTACAAGTGGTTTCAATAGTAAACAAACGACAGGGTTTGGCCAAGATGGGAGTTAGTACAATGTTAACCGTAATATTAATAATTTCATTGAAAATCTTGTATTAATTGTGGACCACCTGAAAATTAGCCCCGCTAAGCTTATGTCAACCGATTATTATATACCCTAACACTAAATAGTATATTAGGTTTGGTTAGATCAGCGTTAGGATGTTTAATCTTTAAGGAGAAATAAGCTGGGGCTAATCTTCATGTGATTTCAAACCGTGTACATGGTATCTTATATATAATGTACTATATATGGATGTAAATTATTATATTATACAGAGCATCAACAACAAACTTTACCAGACAAGTAAAATCCCGTAAAAGTGTTATATAAAGTGTGTGTTGGTCTGGGGGAAGCTAAGGAAATCAACTAACATCGGGTACTGGAGGGAGTTGCCAAGTGCTCCCAGCAATACTGTACATCGGTCTCACTATTTGCCTTTTCCCTCTCAATCTGCTTCACTCTTTTTGTCATTCCTCCTGTCTTAAATCATCTATGTACACCGTCTTTAATCCCCAACAGTCTCTTACTCTATTCCCCACATTATTTTCTCTAGCCTTCATTCCTTTCTCAGTTGGTTCTACACATTTTTAAACCAATTCCCAAGTTAGTATTCGTTTACTATATTACCTACAGTATTTCTGAGACAAAGATTATGAATTACGTTTTACCATATTAATTCCTTTAAGTATTAACAAGTTTCTTATCAACAACGAATTTGTCACTCTAGATATTGATACTTTACATTTATATAGTGTCCAACCCATTTAACTGTATATACAGGGCAATCGAAAGAGAAAGTCCATATATTAAATGACTATATTAAAACTATCACTCTTTTTGATGAAGCAATATATCCTAGCGGGGTGAGGTTGTTGATTATATGTAGAAGTCCGAGCACTTTATGGGCTAATGAAATATATATGGAAACCTCGTGTTTCGAAGCCGGATTTGGTAAAACGTTACTCTGATCACTTACGAGGCACGGGTAGTCCCCTATTGGAGGTTCACGGCGCCATAAGCTCGATGAACAGGCTTTGTGTGAACCATAAGCTCAATGAACAGGCTTTGTGTGAAATATAACAAAGTCTAAGACAGCTTTTAGTGTCCTAGTGGTCTAGAGGTAACATTCCCCGGTCACACACATAAGATCGTGGGTTCGAATCCTGGTGGGGTGAGGTTGTTGTATATATATATATATATATATATATATATATATATATATATATATATATATATATATAAACACATTGTTAAGATTATATTATTAGTGTATGTCACTCACCATTAAGATTAAGCTTGAGAAATTTCAAGACAAAATTTGCACGAGTCAACTTGGCCAATTGTTGTGGACCACCTACTTTTGTACAAGAAAAAAGTTTATCATATTTTTCACTCTTATTAAAATTTTGTCGAAATAACAAATAATTTTTATTTTTCCATTTGCAAAGTTGGTCCTCCCAGCAATGTTCCTAAAATTTAAATACATCATAACACCATCAGCAAAAATCACCAGAAATGTTTATATCTTGCAGTTGGTGTCAGTGGCAGTGAAGGCCAAATCTAAAGCCTTGGGTGCAGAATTAGTAGACATAGAGTCAACGAAAAGACTACCCTAATTTTAAATGTACATCAAAATCTGGATATAATTTTTCGATGACCCTGTAAAACACTGTGTGAGGGATAGCTGTTACGTGCATGTTGTTCAAGTTTGATTAGCGAGTCAAACTTGTTAGATTACAAACGGTGATGTCAAGAGCTTCCATGTCAAGCTGTGGCATTTAGAGAGAGGGCCTGAAGTATTGGATGAGAAACACTCCACGTGATGTCCCCTGCTGGATGTGAATGGGCAATGAGATGCGTTAAAGCCTGTATAGTGTGAAACAGTTGTATCAGGAGAAAGTCTTAAGGAAAAGTCTGGAAGTTACGGAGGTAAGTCTTAATAACAGGGATACTGATTTAAGTACTAAATTACAGATACTTCGAGGAAAATTATAATCCAAGAGAGATGTACTGTATATACAAAGTTGTAATGAGAGGAAGTATATGTTGTCATAGAAAAAATAAACGGAAGGTCGCAGTCATCTACTTAGAATGAGAAACAGAGGAATAACATACCTCCTATATTGTAAATGAAGTAAGGAACTCAGATGCAAGTTACAGATGAAGGTAAGATATAAGATTAAGGCCAGTATGGGATATCCTCATGCCAGTGTTATAGTTAGAGGATGAGTTGAAAGAGGTGGTAAGACGATACAGGCTGGAGTGTGAGATCCAGAGGCAAGTGCTGTAGCCCTTAATGTGAGAGGCAAAAGACCACCCTTCCTGCAGTGAGGTATTAAACAGAAGCTGTAGGTGAAGGTGAGAAGACTCTGAGGGATGTGGTCATCTAGTGAAGGACATACTGTTGTAGCCGAGACATAGCTCGTTGTAGTAGCGTCCGGAAGGTTCCATACCAACGTAGGAGTGGACACCCACATCGCTCAGTTCCCCCAGAGCCAGTGCGTAGGTCAGCGCGTAGCTGCAGAGAGAGACCCGCGTTATGCGTTGTCTCTGTTTCCCCGCTTGCGTCAACAACCACTCCTCGTGGAATGACCCAGATGCTTTGTGTCTACGACCTAAGTACTGTATCTTACCTGACCATGCAAGTTCCTAACAATATATTCTACTTTCGTGATGATTCCCATTTTCCTCCTTTCCATTTTGGGTCTTCTGGTAAGGGATGGTGACTTAGACTGAGGAGCCAATAAAACACATACCCGTTACGACATGGTCTGTCAAGCAGGACAAGTACCATGCACACGTTACCCCGGTTACTTACTGTTATAATCGAGGCAAAGCTCATTGAAGTAGCGACCAGACGGCTCCATCCCGATGAAGTTGTGCATGTACTCCGTGCCGTACATGCCCGACACCAAGGCGTAGGTCAAGGGCTTGCTAGTTCCCAGAGAATTAAAGGAGAATTGTAAAACTAAGCAACAAGGGTGCCATCAAGACCAGACGAAAGAATAAAAACCATATACAGCAAAAAAATTAAAGCTGAAACCGACATAAAAGATAACAGGACTTATGAATAAAGTGATAAGAGCTGAAGAAGAAGAAGAAAGGGGGGTTATTCTCTTGCAGTGACCGGTGAGAGTGTAGGTACAAGTCTCCCAGCTGTCACTGTAAACACGTGCATGAGCTCAGAGAAATATGAGGGGGTCACAGCATTACTTTGGGTATGGATGAACATATATTAGCCTACCTTACCATGGGTACCAAAGATTGTCTCACGTCACCAACTACAGTAATATTCACTCATGCCACATGCATTCCTCTCTGTCTTTTTTTTCAGTACCCTTCAGTGACTACTAACTCACCAATAAATATAAGTTATATATGCAATAAATTACATGTAAAAGTTCACTATTTGGTACCTTCAACATTACACGACTTTTCCAAAACGTAAATAAATAAATATAACAAAATAGACATGTAAAAAAGAACACATAAATCAACAAATTAAATAAACAAATCAATATCAGAGAATATTTAAAAAGACTCACTTTACCAAAAAATATAATTCAAAATAAAGTAGAAGATTATAACCGCGTGGCAGGAGAGGGAGAACCCACCTGCAGGACTGGAGAGTGAAGGGAACATTAACGTCGCCCATGGAGTACCTCTGGCCGTCCACTGTACAAATGGAGACGGCCCAGTGCTGAGGATTGGATCGAGCCAACTGGGGGATGTATTGCGCCACCTGAGAACATAAAACACAGGAATTTATTAAAAGATAAGAACTAAAACAGACAATGAGAAGATGAAGATAAATAATATTCTCTGGACATTAGACATGATCCATTAATAAACGAATTTAAAAAAGAAAAACATTAAAAAAAAAGAGAGGATATTTTACTCATTTTAAGTTTATGTACAACCCTCTGACCCGTTGTGTATATGACACTGTATACGGTATATAATTATCTACTTCTTAACCATCCTAACTTTACTTATGGGGTTAAGTTAGGTTAGGTTAGGTATATAATCTTAGGGGAAAATAAGCTGGAGGGGCTAATCTTTAGGTAATCCAAGAATTACAACAAAATGATAGCAAATGACTGGTACCGTGCCATCCGTGTTAGCAAGACAAGAGGCATAGATCTCGTCGATGTGGTGACAGAATCCGCGGAAGTCTGGTATCACGAAGGAGGAGGAGAAAGCCTTCACTACCACCTCCAGGTTCTCAGAGACGATGCTGTGTGGGGAGAAGAAACTCCTGATTCAGTGGCCAGAGGTCTTATGTGGGGTGTAGGTGTGATCATGGTGTGGTCGGAGTGTCATGAGGACAATGTGGAAATGCGGTGTGTGTGTGTGTGTGCATAGTAAATCATACAGTACATTCCATCAAGATCAACAACATTTACAACATAATTATACTACTAAAGCATTAATTTTTTTTTAAAGAAAATTTCTCATCTATAATACTTCAAGATGAAAATTATCTAAAACAAGTAAACAATATATTTTTTTCTTTCTTCGTTTACACACCCCATGAACGACTCGTAGCTGACATTCAAGGCCTCGAGATCAGACGACGCCATACGTTCCTGGACCTTCTTCAGTTTATTCCTCATTTCTTTCAGGCGGGGGTCCGAGTGTCGCATCCCTGTAGCTGTCAGCCCCTGTGGGAGAAGACAACACCAAACATCAGTGTAAGAAATCTCTCTGTAGGTAAAATAACCTTAGAACAAGACGATTTTCTATTCTCTGGCTGAGTGCAAGAAGAGCCAAAGTAATAAAATTCAAATTTTCCGGAGGCAAAGGAATATTTCAATTTCTATTATAAAATCAGCCTTTGGGTATATGTTTACAAAACAAATGCAGATGGAAGCCCTACTAGTGGAGAACTTTGTTAATAGCAGGTCCCTTGTGCAAACGGGAAGAGCAGTACGAATATCATTCAAATGACTTTGGCCCATTTTGCAATAAGGTGAGATGCAGTTTTGAGTACAACAGTACACATTGGCCATTTTTGCAACTAATACTCTGTAACAACGATTATGTGCTTGAGTGTTGTAAGTATTCATAATGTAGGAAATGGACACAAATTTGATATTTCCATTAAAAAATCATTTTCTTAACAAAAATCAGTTAGAACATGATAAAATACTCCGAGTCATCCCTCTAAGGTTTTGTACAAGAGTTGGCTGCCTTCTGATCTATAAGGAAAGAGATCCACGAGCTCCTTCCATTTTTATTTTGTATATTTTGTTCAGATTGTACCCTGTGAACCTGTGAAATCTGCCTTAACCTTCCTGTGTTGTTAAGATTGGCCCTTCTTGGTCTCACAAAAGTAAATCTTTGATATGACATTCGCCCAAGGCACCTTCGCTACTCACAAAACCAATGGAGATAACGACTGGCTCTTATTGCACTAAAAATATTTCACTTAAGACACCGTTACATGGGCCAAAGTCAAAATTGGCTATTTTAGACATTGGTCCTTTTTGCACTCAGCCAGAGTATTGGGGATGTCTCCGAACAGCAAGAATCAGTTAATCAATGTCAAAAGTCTTGATGTTATGGCGTACGTGATGAATCAAGTTAATGTCAACAACAAATGTCTTAAAAAAATACCTGTCAGTACAGAGTCTATATAACACTCACCATGAGGAACTTGCTAATATTGATAGTGAGCTTTTCCTTGTCACCGAACATCTCGAAGAGTCGGTTCTCCACATGGACCAGATGTTGACGCACCAAACTGTAATGCAGAGACGCAGATTGGAAGGGTTGGCTATTTTCCGTCAGCGTTTAATCTTTACTGTATTACTCCCAGCATCACCTACACAAAAGTTTATAAGCATGAGTTTATTATTCACGACTTTTAAAAATAAATATATTAGGCCATTAAACTGACACACTGATAATATGAAGAAACTACAGAGCTTTTCTTCACCATTTTGTAAATCAGAAGGGCTGAGGAATTAACAATAACAGCTATATTCATTCGAGAACAGAAACTCATGCAAATACATTTTTAGCATGTTATCGAGAATAAAGTGAAGGAGAAGTGTTTTGTCGGGAGAGTGGCTGAGGCTTCAAACATTACCGTGTTGTCAGATTGTGTCTTGTTTATGGCTACATCAATTTTCTCCCAATCTTTGCCTCAGCTCAATTCACAAGTGTACAGTAGCTAAAACAACTATCTGTGCATACTTTGTGGGGAAACAATATGAGACCATGGACGATAAAATTTGATATATGAGGGCTGTCACTAGTCACACGTAAAATTTCGGAGCTTATCGACCTCCACCTGCACAGATAGTTGTTTTAGCTACTGTACATGTTTTTTTTTTTTTTTATATGTTCAAAAGTCTCACTCACAAATACAAAGAATGTGACGGAATGACAAATATTAAAGAAAAAAATAGTTAATAAGCAAGACAAAGGGCTATGCTTACCTTTTTCGACCTGCTATCCAACGCTTCATCCTGTACAAGGTGAAAAATTATATATGGAGAGCACCTACTAGTAGTGGTTGTGTTAGTGGTCAGGGTACTGAATCAAAAACATATAACACTGAACTGTATCGTCCAGTAACCAAGCTCCCCTGATTTTTCATAATGGAAAAATTATTAGCCTCGTACGAATAATGGTAATGCTATGGAAACTAACTTCAAAATTATTAAAATGAACACGGTAGCTCTTACGTGTGATTCATCTTTGTGATATTATCTACATATACTTCTGTGATTCATTTCGCGATAACAGAAAGGAGGTACCGTGAGTGATCGGTTTGGGTTCTGCATGAGCCTGTGTATAATATTTACCCAGATACCGGAAATTACATTTTAAGGTTCATTTCAACAACGCTCTGCATGAAAATGAAGAAACATTATGGTACACAGTTAATAAGTGGAAGATAAATACGTCGCCTGTTATTAGAGACGTTCTCAGTTTTGGCAAAGGAGGTTTGTTCACCCATTGTATGGCAGCGTTTAACGAGAGCCTCAGGCGCGAGATCTCAAGTCTCCCTGGAATTTAAAAAAACTGGATATTCCTGTGGTGCAATCTAGTGCATATTGAACTTGGGAGACGCATTAATTATCGTTGTGGATGTCCTGATTTTAGGGAGGGGGAGGAGAATACTGTAATGGATTCATGCTAACCCCCTCCATCACCCTCACTGGCTGCTCTGGGAACACCTGTACAGTATAAAGCACACGGTCGAGCGCACCTGTGAACGACAATGAGTGTTTGTGTTTACTTTAGGTTTCATACCCACGTGAATGTACTCTTGACAATGGGTGATACTAACGGTAGGTGTGGTATATACATCATGCACGCTTGTTAACATTCAACAATTTGGTTTATCCTCATTATTTAAACAAACGTTTAACTGAATACGACCGTCGATAATCCTCAGATACGGATTAACTGGAAGTGGTATCAGGACAATATTATTTTGATCTATTGGGTAAAAACTCATAGTTATATAAATGTTTACCGAGGACACTATATAAGGACATGAATACCACAGGACGCAGTAAATCCACATTCAAAAACTACGTCCAAGTCAACATTGTAATGACCCTTACAACTGGGGCGCCTGAACAACACAACATGAAAACATACCTTTCTGTGTTTTTAAAAGTTGTGGGCTAACCTAGAAACTATTCTCAGCTCTAAGACCTTCCTTACGCTTTAAAGCACATTAATAACAGCATAACAACGACATCACTTGGCACACCACCCAACGTTATTAGTTAATGATAGCTTGTCACTCCCGGCATCACCACAACAAACCTATTCATCACATCTACTAATAAATCATAAACTTACTCCTTGCAGTTATATGATATACTCCTCTGAAGGACCCTTGGCCGTCCGTTGGCGTCGGAGATACTTGACATGGTGGAGACAATCCCAGGTGCAGTCAGCAGTATTCAAATATTACACTAACTCACAACACTCGCTTTGGTTCACAGATTCTTACAACACTGGTTATGCTTTATTTAAGTGATTCGGTCTATGATAATAGTGTCTCAAAAGTATCACTTTCTCGAAGTTTCAATAATGTTGTTGGTACTCAGGAGAGCGGTCCGAACTCAAATTAGGGCTACTCAACGTAAGGGAGGGACACTGGTTGAACATCAGCAGTGAGAAAGGAACCTGAACACGTTGTCCACATCAGGTTTTCTTTACACTTCCTTACAGTTCCACTCGTCTAACATTATCCGTTTGAAATTGCACACAACGAATCACTGCTGGAAAATCAGTGATTGTCGTCAATATATAGTGAAAGCACACCACTGGTAGCCTGGCCTCGACCCTCACCCAGTCGGTGTAGCGTTCAGCCGCTTGGTTGGCCGGGTGCCCAGGCAGCCCAGCACCACGTAATGTCTCACACCTCCACACCCACCCTCGTCTCCACCGCCCTGATTTGGCGACCCGCACGCGCCCTTCTACAGGCATATTTTACACTGCTTACTTCGTTGCCAGAACACTATACCATAGATTATTCCAAGGATAGGGGGAGATTACGTCGTCACCCAGGTGTTGACGCTGCTTTTGGTTAAAGTTTCCCTTCAAGTTTCTCTTTTTTTTCTGAATTGGCCAGTGAATCGCCTAAAATTTACACCATCGCGTTTTCACCCGATAATTAAACACTCCAATGCTAACTGGGGTTAGGTTAGATTATATTAGATTAAGTTAAGTTAGCGTTAGAGTAATTAATCTTCAGAAATGAACGGTCTTTTTTTTTCTTTTTTTTTTGGGGGGGGGGGACTTGAAAATATTTGTGCTCCACTGTATATGCAATGAGCACTTACATATGTTCACAAGTACTTGAAGGTTTCATTATCACTCAGAAAATTGTCCATTAAGAATAACAAGCATAAAAAACAACTGAATGCGGCCATTAACCTAAGAATTAAAATGAAATGAAAATGAAAGTTTACTGTATATATATATATATATATATATATATACCCTGTATTCATAAGAGGTTAAGTTGTTGAATGTCCTGGGTCCGAAGGTTTACGAGACATCCACAATACAACGACGTTATAGCAGCAGTACTAATCAATTCCTTTAAAAAAATACATCGGTTTACATACACACACTCACACACGTCTAATGTTCAAACAGGCAACCCTCACCTAACAAGGCTTATAGTACAGTATTAGCTGTGTTATTCGACTCACCACCCACACAAACCCAACAAACAAGTGTATCTGTTGTTGGGTGACCACAAACACACGCAGGTTTTACGGCCCCAACATAAGCGGCACAACGAGGTCAGTGCCGTGATCAGGAAACCTTGCCACGTGTACAAGAGAACCTCGACTCGTCAGCCTCGATGCCTTTTAGACAACACCAGGCGGGTAACACCAAACGTCTGGAGGAATATTGGTCATCTGCCCCTCGTACGGTTATCACCCCTGTCTGGTGTCACTGACAATAGAAAACCCATTGCAGAAGAAACTCCTCAGCTTCTTGTCTTAATAAATTTGTCATTACTTTTGATATAGATATAATAAGTTTCAGGCTTCACTAAGACAACTGAAACTAACCAGCTTTCGGTTTCAGCCTTTCAATACAGCAACCATGCACGAGAAGCCCAGCTGGCTCTACCACCTCTCGCTAAGCCTCCTCAGAGCTGAATGGAATTAAAAACATTTAGCTTTAAGTCGGTGGATAACTTACATTTATTTCAACAATACGTAAATATACAAAAAGTTGTTTTAAGATGATAAAATAATAACAATATATAACTCGGTATTAACTGCTGTATTCTCTCAGGTTATAAGTCTTAATACACAAGGAATGGTAACTCTTCTACACATTTCCTATGGTGATAAACTTTGTCCCTCCGTCACGAGGTTCTTCGCCTCAGTGCAGCAATGCTCTTGGCTGATGTTATCTACCTTAAAACAATCGAGACAATGTCGCTCCCGTGTCTATTTTTATCTGGGTTGCTTCTCCTAGTTACAGTAACCATCTAAATCCTCCTGAGTGTGTTCTGGGTGGTAAGTGGATGTGTATTTGGTCTTTGCTTTCTGGCCTCCAGCTTCGTCAATATGAGGGTCAACAGAACTACTTGGCAGCCTATGCATCTGTAGAGTTTGTATACAGAATTTATCTGATTTCATGAGTTAAAAATGAACCTGCTGAACAACACTGTGGTTACTACGAGTGACACCGTCACTTCACTTTAACAATTTAACCTCATGTTGCATGCATTTGGTTGTCTGGGCAATGTCCTCCAGACCTCTGACTTGTTATTATATGAATCCTAGCTATCTACCATACCAAACCATAGCAACTTACCTTTCCTTAGAGCATACTGACACATCTCGGCAGTGAATTTGTTTCTTACCAATAGATTTAACAAAAAATATAATTATCTATCTGAGTGAGCATGAAACTTCCTCTTCATTTTTACTTCAATTAATAATATACTAATCCACAACAGGTAAAATTACTCTTCCCACCTGGCGCTCTTCTTGACACAACACCTTCAAACATTTTGTATGTAATCTCTGCATCTGGTAGTGTCTCCTTACGTGTTTTCTGCATGTTGGGTCGCTGTCAAGGCGAGATTCTTCTTAATTCAATATTGATAAGTTCTTTTCAGTCTAACCTACCCAATGTTACTTCAGTTTCTTAACCCGAAAACCCAATGTTTTGCGCTTCACTGTGAAACTAACTCATTCTTCTTCTTTTTTCGTGCTAGTTGTATATCCTTGACATTACTGAGTCTGACCTGCTCCCGAGTAACACGTGTGTGACATAGATATTAGGGTGGACACACACACACACACACACACACACACACACACACACACACACACACACACACACACACACACACTTCAGGAAATCCCACCATTTGTTTTATTTTCCCAAACTCTCAACAGTACCACACATCCATAGTTTAACAAACACGAATATTTCAACTCATTCAAATTACCAAATATGTGATGTCTTACGTAGCCTTATAATTTTTTTCCATATTTCCACTGTCCTGGCCAAGGCAAGTTCCCTTAATATTTCTGAAATGTACATACAGTATCAAATTCAAGTGTACTAACAACAATCATACTCGTTCGGTTGATAATTACTGACATAAGCGAATTTCATAATTATATACAGTATAGTTATTCTCAAAAAAAATCCAATAATAGTCTATATGTTTATGGCGACACAAAAATAATCTGGAAAATTCCTGCCAAAACTTGTACAACTAGTCATCACGAATTTCAATAAGTTGTCTTTGGCTTATTTAAATTAACTTCGTGGATAGTGTACAGTACTCCTCCAACCCTGGCAAATGACCCACTTTAAAATACAATGTTGCGGTTCTCTCGGTCAACATAAATGCAGCCAAGAGTATTTACGACGCACCGCCTTTGTACTATCCGCCTGTTGACGTTTAGTTGATGCTAACGAGAAATAAAAGGACAAACGTTGCCCACCCGCACGCCAG